CAAATGTATCTCGCTACATTGTACAAGTATCCTCCTACCAAACCAATACAAAAAAAAATACCCACTAAAATTATCTTATTTCCCCTTGAACCCAAATCATCGTATTTGGGAACTCGACTACCGACAAGACACTTTCTCGAACTAACAGGTGTTTTACTTTTTATAGAAACACTTATTCACATGTTTATTTTTCGTCGTTTAAATGGTTTGTGTTTGTCAAAACTATCTATATAAAAGTTAAATATTAGAAAGGGACAACAAAGAAGGAAAGTAAATGAAACGAAAGAAAGAAGTTGGTTGAAAACTGTACTTAAAAGGGGATAAAAAAAATATGTGGTGGCAAAATTTAAAGAAATGAAACTTGAAGGTTAAACCAACCCATCACTTTTACAACTGTCTCACACACATTTTCTCATGTACAACATTAAAAAAAGGTCCAATCCTTCCATGCCTTTAAAGTTGCAATCACCATGAAAACTTTAGGGGCCAATTTGAAATTTATCAAATCTTTTGGGGTCCCACAGTAAATATGTAAGTATAATTAGGGTAGAATTTGTTATGATACCAAAAAAAATTAATAACATGTATCAGTCAATTATAAATTACTAGAATGGTGTTCGTGTAATGTATAAAGACATATCTTGATTTCAATGTTTCGTTTTATTCTTTATCTATATCGGTATAATTCGGTTTTATGTCGGTTTGAAAAAGCGATAATGTTTTTATTTTTGGATAAAATATAAATTTGAAAATATCATAAAACTTAAAAAAAAAACTACATCGGTATTAATATCAAATTAGCTACTTAAAAAAATCTTGTGTAATTTCTTTAAATTGATTTTTTATTATAATTTAATTTAATGTAACGAAATAATTTAATTTAAATTTAATAATATAATTTTTTATAAATATAGTAATTAAATATTCTGTTAGAACTCAATAATTATCCTAATACGTAACATCTATATGTCAGATCTTGTTTATTTCCAAACCGACTATTCTAGTTGTAAATCAATTTTTATTTTTATTATTATTATATTTTATTTTATTTTTTAAAATCCATCAATAAAATTAAAAGAATTATGTGAGATGTAGAAAAATAAAAGAAAATGTTCCACTTAATTACTATGAATAATGTTTTTGACGTTAAACTCAAGAGTTGTTTGTTTAGCTCTTAATAGTTCCACTAAAAAGTAGCATCTGAATCGTTAAGAGATGAATCTTGTTTGGTAAAAAAAATATGTCTTTTAATGGTTCTAAAACCGTCTGAATGATTTTGTATCTTGGGCATCCCTTAACCGTTCAACACCCTAATTTCATTTTGAATAATTACCAAAAATTTATATTTCATTTTGCACTATATGATAAGAGTCACTTAATCATTTTGACCACTTAATCGTTCTATACCAAACCATTCAACAACTGTCAGACAACCCCTCAATTAGCAAAAAAGTGAGACGACTTTGTCCAAATACAAGACATGTCATGTATTTTTATCTCTGGCCCCGCTGGCCTCAATCGCTAAGTGAGACAAAAAGTCTCTTCACATTAGTGTCTTTGAAGAAGAGTACGGTATAGAAGTCGTTAATATTAGCGGTAATTAACTTTTTGTTCAAAAATTACTATAAATAATATTAATGGATAAACTAAACATAGGATTACTATATATTAAAAAACAAATTAAATTTTAAATTATAGATCCTTGTAAAATATAAAAGTCAATAAAATAAATAAAAACTAATAAAATATCATTTCACACAAAGTTCAAGATAAAAATCACTTTAATGTTTTTATACTAAAGGCCGTTTATTAAACGCTTATCCAGTAAGTGCTTACAGAGTAATTTTCTTTACCGAACGAACCTGGTAAGGGTTTAGAATCTTACCCCGTCAGAGCGGTAAAATGATGGAGAATCTTACCCGGTAAGAGTGGTGAAATAATGGAGAGTCTTACGCAGTAAGTGAGAGTGACGACTCTTACCTGGGTAAGCGCTTACCGGGTAAATTGTTGCATACTATATCATTTTGAAGCACTACAATTTTACCCAGAAAAAATAAATTATAGTGTTGACTCCTATCGGTAAGTACTTACCGAGTAAGCATTTGAGTAAACGAGCCCTAACTCTCTCTAATAGTAGTTCGTATGAAAACATTCTACTCGAGATGCTAAAAAAAACCTTCTACGCTTTATGTGCTCTAAATGCACCTATATATATTGCTAAATGCATTTTTACCTAAAGAAAAAGTATTGTAATCTACACATTGATTCTTTTTTTTTTCAATTGTATGCGTCAAAAGGCGACTGTACGGTTCAGAAGGGATACAATTTCACCCTAATCAACCGACTTTATCGAGAAATATTATTTTTTTAGGTCAAGAGGTTGAGAGCGAGGTCTCAAATCAACTTATTGATCTTATGATATATCTCAGGATTAGGGATGATAACCCAAGATCTGTATTTGTTTATAAACTCTCCTGACAGATGGGTAATACCCGAGATGACTCTTTATGATATTATGCAATTTGTGCAACCAAATGTACAACCAGATGTACATACAATATGCATGGGATCAGCCGATTCAATGGGATCTTTTATCCGGGTAGGAGGAGAAATTACCAACCGTCTAGCATTCCCTCACGCTTGGCGCCAGTGAGGCTTTTATTTGAGAGAAAAAGTTCTCGTACATTAATATCAATACTTGTCTTTTATATTTTCAATACATGATTTAACATGATTCTGATACAAAAATGGAATGATATTAGCATTACCCATGAAGTATTAAAAATGGTAACCACAAAGGTTGCGACATGGTAGTTGAGTTCCTGAAGGATGTGGTGGAATATTCTATTTGTTCAGGGTTTGATTTCAGACGTATACAACAATTGTGATCACTGAGTTTATTATAGATGAATTTTTACAATTACAATTTGTCAGCATTAGTCCGATCATAACGTGAGATACTATTTATTTAAATATTTAAAAATGGTGTCATTGAAAATAAAGTAAGGGGCTGTTTGTTTGCCTCTTAATGGCAACATTAAGAGGATGCCTCTTAATCGGTGAGATGTAGAGGCTGTTTGGCAAAAAAAATTGAGCCTCTTAATGGTGACCATTACCTCTTAACGATTTAGCATCCAAGGCTTCACTCAACCATTCAGATATCTTTTCTTCCATCTTTACCCTTCCTTCCACGTCGCCTTCACAATCCTTCCCACTCATCTCCGGTCATCTCCACYGTCACCTTCACTAAGAACAAAAACAACACCATCGCCGTCCACCAGTTTCACGTCGCCGCCATCCACCGTCAACAAATCGTTGAATGTCAACACCATTTACCGTCGCCATGATTGATTAGTCTCTGAACCCTAGCAAACCTGAATAATCACGAACCCCCCTTAGATTTTTGAAATCTGTCGCGACTGGAACCCTAACTCGCTGGAACCCTAAACTAAGCCATTGCGTTGAAGCTATTGCAATGGTGATACCCTATCTATGAAATCTGTCAAGTTTCAGAATTTTTGGAGTTTCTGTCGAGTTTTCTGCTGTTGCTCGCGAAACCCTTGACGATGCACTGAAGTTCTTCCAGAGTTCGTTTGTTGGTCGAATGTCTGTTTTTCTTTCTTTTCTAATCCAAGGTAATTGCATCTGGTAATGCACTCCATGTTGATTGCTCTTTCCAGTGCTCCTGTTATGCCCCTTCTTTGTTTGGAGATTTTGGATTTAACATACAAGGGTTAAAATGGTAATTTATTGTCATTCAGATAACAGTTACCAAACAACATTATTTTATTCAGCACTTAACTATTCTGACCCTCTTAACTATTCTGACCTCTTAACTATTCAGCACTAAATCATTCAGCAACTGCCAAACAGCTCCTAAGGTTTGTTTGGGCAAGCATGTTGGAAGGCTGCAAAAGGTGTATTGGATTGGGCCTATTTTATGGTGGAACAGCCCACATTAGATTGGACCACTATATTTTCTAATTCTCTTATTTAGTTATAATATGAGAATCATCATTGCTAGTTTGCTACCCATGGCATAAAAGAAATATATCTATTATATATTATAAAGCATTTGATAAAAAAAATTAAAAATTATTTATATATATAAAATATTGTTTATTGATGTATAGTATATAAAATTCAAAATTGCAAGAACTTCTTTCGACGATCTATTATCTATTAAAAGTATCGATCTTTTCGCAAACAAACCGGCTGCATTCCCGATAGCATATGTTAAGTAATTGTTGAGATGAATTTCGGTAATAGAAATTTTTATGAAAATCAAGAGAATTTTGCAAAATGTTTGCACCTGATTTTACAAAAACAAACTATTGATTAAGACTTCATACTTCAGACATTTGTCAGTTTATAAAAATAAACAGTTTTTATCGATTCAAAATTTAGACTTCAACACCACCTCTTATTAATCAGAAGTGAAATAAGACTTCAGACTTCAGCACCTCTTAAAAAACAAACTATTGATTAAGACTTCATACTTCAGACGAGTGTCAGTTTATAAAAATAAACAGTTTTTATCGATTCAAATTTTAGACTTCAGCACCACCTCTTATTAATCAGAAGTGAAATAAGACTTCAGACTTCAGCACCTCTTAAAAAACAAACGCCACCTAAGATTTACAATACATATATATGATTAATGGTTGTACCAACTTTTAAGTAAAATTACACATTAACCCGTAGTTACTGTTACAAAGTTATTGCTCCAAAGGACCGTCTGTTAGAGCTGAAAGTTTTGAAATTTTATCTGACAAAATGAACAAAGTAGAAAAGATGAAGGACTAAAATGAAACAATAGATTACGCCACTTTGGGTCTCCAAAAAGGCGGTAGTTTAAACCCTAAAAACTCTCTGCCGTCGTGCAATTTGAAGGTTTTGTGAACTCCGTTTGTACCACCGTTCCCTGAGCGCCGTCGACGACGAAGAAATTCGCATTAGGTATGTTTCCGATTCTTTTAATAATATTCAAACGATAACTGCAATCTTCAATTTCATTTATCGATTTCTTTGATTTGTCTTATAATGTCGTTAGTTGGTGATGTTCTGGATTGTGATTTYATGATCMTGTTTATGTTGCTTATAAYGYATTCACTTCGATTGATATACTTGTGTGATTAGTGGTTGCGTTGATGGATTGATCAATTGTACTCTGTTGGTTTTGACGTCAAACCTAATGCAGAATTGTTTATTTGTTTAATTATAGTACGAACATTGTTCTATCGGCACCACTTGTTACTGATAAAAGCTGATGTTATTTGCAATTTGTCATAGAAGAGTTACAAATTTGTGACTCCTTTAAAGGCATCAGAAATCTAGCTAGAATGGAGGTCATCATGTCATCTCCCATACAGAACTGTTCAGGGTTGGAAAATGCTGGAGGTGACGTTTCTGCTAGTCTGCGTAGTAGACATCAGGAAAGAAAGAAGAAAAAGCTGCTCAGAAGAGAAAATAATAAAAATCCTGATAGCAAACTCGAAGTTGCTCAACAAAATGTTGATGTGATCCCACAGTCTTCCATTSAGGATAATGCAAATACTGATCTAGGTACAACTGCAACCTTTCAGCTGAGTAAACGCAAAATAAGAAGGAATAAAAAACTGCTAAGAGAAGATGCTGAAAACCCTGAGAGCAAACTGGAAGTTGCTAATGTTGATATGATCCCACAGTCGTCCATTCAGGATAATTCAAATACTGATCTAGGTACAACTTCAACCGTTCAGCTGAGTAAATGCCAAATAAGAAGGAATAGAAAACTGCTCAGAGAAGATGCTGAAAACCCTGAGAGCAAATTGGAAGTTGCTCGTCAAAATGTTGATATGATCCCACAGTCATCCATTCAGTATAACCCAAATGCTGATCTAGGTGCAACTGCAACTGTTGAGCTGAGTAAACGTCAAATAAGAAGGAATAGGAAACTGCTCAGAGAAGATACTGAAAACYCTGAAAGCAAACTGGAAGTTGCTCGTGAAAATGTTGATATCATCACACAGTCGTCCATTCAGGATAATCCAAATACTGATCTAGGTACAACTGCAACCGTTCAGCTGAGTAAACGCCAAATAAGAAGGAATAGAAAACTGCTCAGAGAAAAAACTGAAAACCCTGAGAGCAAACTGGAAGTTCCTTGTCGAAATGTTGTTGTCATCACACAGTCAGAGAGTTTTGCAACCCCTGATGCAGAGATGGTGTCAAAAGGAGAAGAGCGCACAAAAGTTGCCAATGGTCGGATGGGGTCAGATATGCCTAAAAATGTTCACATTGAGGGTACAATACAAAAGAAAAAGAAGAAGAAATCAAGGAAAGAGAAACCAACTTTAGGTGAAATTTTGAATCCCCGACAGTTAGAGGACATGGAAGTTGCCATTGGTGAGATGGATTCAGGTACAACTGCAACAGATCATATAGTGTCACAAAAGAGAGAGAAGCAGAAATTAGAGAACAAGGATCCAGCCTCAGGTGACATTTTGGATACTCGTGGGTGTGTACAAGACATGGCACTTGCAAAGAAAGGCCTAAGCAGTACTAGAGCTCTTGAATCAACAAGTGGTGAGTCAGTCTCATGTAAAACTGCAACTCCTGATGCAAAGATAGTGTCAAAAGGAAAAGAGCACACAAAAGTTGCAAATGGTGAGATGGGATCAAGTGAAACGAAAAATCTTAATGTGAATGGTACGGTACTAAAGAGAAATGAGCAGAAATTAGAGAACACGAGGCCAAACGTAGGTGAAATAGTGAATTGCCAATACTTGCAGAACCTGGAAGCTGGCAATTACGAAGCACATAGTACGAGTGCAGCAAAGAAAAAGAGRSATAAGCTAAAGAAGAAAGCAGCCAAAGGTGAAATTTCGACCACCAGTGAGAATACAGAGGACTCGGTAATTGCAAAGAAAGACGCAGGTACAAACAAAGTTTTTGAAGCAATAAGTACCGAGTCAAAAAGAGAAGACAGCATGGAAATTGTGAATGGTGAGAAGTGTCTAAGAACAACTCCCCTAGGTGCAGATACAATGATTAAAAGTGTCGGGTGCACAGAGGTTGTCAGTAGTGAGATGGGCTCAAGTGGAGCCATGATCATTGTTGAGACCACGGGTTCAAGAGGAACATCAACTCTTGATATGAATACAGTCTCTAAAAGAGAAGAGCACACAGGCTCAAGTGGAACCACAATTACTAAAACAGTATCAAAAGTAGAAGAGTGCACAGAAGTTGGCAACATTGAGACAGACTCAAGTATAAGTAGGAAGACGGAAAAGCTGAGAAAGAAGAAAGAGGGGGTGGGTTTGAAGGCAATCGATGTGATACCTCAGGTTCCCACATCAAGGAAAAAGCTTATTATTTTAGATGTAAATGGGTTGCTYRMAGATATTTGYTTTTCTCCACCAAAGGATGYCAGAGCGGATATGTATATGCTAGGACGAGCAAGTAAGACTTGGTTTCCAATGTGCTATTTGGTGATAACTATAATTTGAAGTTATTTATGATATATAACCATGAATTATTGTTTACCAAGCTTATTATGGATGCAGTATTCAAGAGACCCTTCTTGGATTATTTCTTGTACTTTTGTTTCGCAAAATTTCATGTTGGCATTTGGTCTTCGAGAACCATGTACTGTTCGGTTTATTTCTTTCTAGTTTCTTTGTTTCTCTATTACATAGTGTTCAGTAACATGTAACTCTTGAAATTATATGCAGGAAAGTTTTGGATCCAGTGGTTAATTATCTGTTGGGAGATTTGAAGTATAAATTGCTCTTTCTTTTGGTGAGTGCTTTTAGTTATATCTGTTGAATCCAGCTAGTTTCACCTTTATACTCTAGTTATGATCTGTCTCAAGAAAGGATGATCACTGGTTGGGTTCTTAATAGTCATATCAATTATCAATCACCTTTTATATGGTTTATATGCCCATTTAATTCATCTGTCTATATTTGAGAGATGACAAAGTCAACAATTAACACTCCTTCCATCCCAAAACAAATGCCCACAATGAGAAAGATGCACAATTTTAGAAATGTGTGATTATTACATTTTTTTAATCAACTAAATACCCTAAATAATAGATTGAGTAATGAATTTCTTCATCTCATAATTAAGGGTAGTATTGGAAACTGGAAAGTAGACACTTACTTTTGAAAGTGGACATTTATTTTGGGACAAACTATAGAAGTGTGGACACTTATTTTGGGACGAAGGAGTAGTTATCAGTAACATGTTTTTTATTTACTCAGTTGCCTCTATTGTAATTTTAGCAACATCTGATCTTCACATGTATGGAAATTTGCAGGATGGTTCCAGTTGCACTAATTCAGGGATGAGGACTCTGGAAGAGAAACATAAGTACATAGTCTTTAAAGATCTAAGAATGATTTGGGAGAGAAATGGTCCCCCTAATTCTTGGGTGAAAGGAACTTTTAATGAATCAAATACATTGTTGTTGGATGATTCTCCATACAAGGCATTGCTCAATCCTGTAAGACTGTTAGCTTTCTTTTGAACTCATAAATTTCTTGTAAATCCTTAATCGTGTTCCAATTATTAATTGATTTTGTCCCAATAAAAAAAAATATTCACTTTGTCTTGATTTACATTCGTTATCTTGCAGAAACACAGCGGAATCTTTCCTGTGTCTTACACCTACAAGGATAAGAATGATAACTTTCTAGGTGAGGCATTTTATAGCTGATTTTGCTCCAGTTTTTTAAGTTATGCTTCTTAAAAGTTAAATCATTAAATTTCAGGGTTCCAAAAAGAGTTGTTTCAACTCATCTGCATCTTACTAATTGCTAACAAGTAAACATGTGAGAGCATCTCCAACAACTATGCTAAAATAGAGATTTTGGAGATTTTTTTGCTCCAACAACCTTGTTTAGGAGAGAGAAATAATATCTTATTAATATATTGAATATTTTAATAATATAATTAATGTTGGAATCTCTAAAATAGAATAGTTGTTGGAGTTGGATGTAATTTTTTTTGAGATTTTAACTTTTGATACTCTAATTTAGAAAAAATTATAGAGTATCTAGTGGAGATGCTCTTATAACATGTGCTCTGCAACCAAAGGGCCTTTGGCCTAGCGTATCGGAACCTTCGGTCTCCTAGGAGGTCAGGGGTTCAATTCAGTAAGGAGGGTGTGCGAGTTTATTTGTTGAATTTGCCATATACAAATATTATATACTTAAAAAAACATGTGCTCTGCTAAAAGCAAAATGATTATGGATTTAGCTAATCTTAAAAAAGGGTATACGCCATCCTTTGTTTGGTTTAGGGAAGATCCATTAGTACTCCTCCTGTTTGTATGTTTTGTTTGTTGTTTGCCTCTCTGTGTGTGGTTGCTTACTCCTAACACGTTTTCACATTTTAGCACTGTCTTTTTTCCAAGTTCTTATGTTCTTTTTCAGCAAAAAATTTTGACCAAGTTTTATCCTTTCTTTTCGCACGTTTTGCACACGCCGGGGTTCTTCACAAGAACAGTCACTCTATTCTTTGAGTTAGAGGCTATGTCTGCTATGTCCCACCTGTAGACCCCACCTCCCGGTCCTCCCAGTGGGATATACCGGGTTTGTTTGGTTTGATTCAATTTGGGTTATTCGGCATTTTGTTCCCATCTTCATTTCGCCTTGTAGCAAGATCCATAACCACTTATTCATTTCTTCTAACACCATAAAATAGGACCCACAGAATGAAAATATTGAGACCAAAACAATCAAGCAGATAGGATGCAAGCATATCTACTCCATGGCAGTACAGTTTTTATTTCCTTTTTGTTCTTTTTTTTGTTGCAAATAGAAGTAATCTTAGGTGTGTATTTGGTATGTGGTACAGGACGGTACATGACCATCTTTTTGTTACCACGTTTGGTTCGACATTAGATTAGGACCGACCGGACCAAGTGGGACAAAAATTCATTTTTTTGTCCCATAAAAATAGTCAAATAGGTGGAATAAAATCAGGAAGATGACACAGGATTAGATTAGTAAATTACTGAACTACCATGTCAAATTAAAACCCTAAAACCTTCCACAATTCTTTCACCCCCTCCCTTGCTCTCGCTTATTCGGTTCGTGTACCAAACGCAACCTAAGAGACCTATTCAGTGATGGTGTAAACGCGTTTTACTTCTTCCTGCAGGTCCTATGGGTGTTCTCAGAAACTATCTGCATGGTGTAGCGGCCACCGATAACTTGAAGATGTATGTGGAACAACACCCATTTGGTCAAAGTTACATAGACGAAAAAAACCCACATTGGAGCTTTTAATCGCGTGTTCTCATGTCTGGAAATTACTAGTCCGAGGTGAGAATCATTGTTCTGAATACAACCAAGGAGTAGAGACATCAATAACAAATGAAAAGATGATGTGTAACCGAAGGGTTATTGGCCCAACATTATTCGGGTTACCAGTAGATCCCAAAAAGTAAGGAGTGTGTAAGAGTTTTGCCGTATATAAATATAAGAAGCCATTTACCAGGCTTACTGAGTAAGCGCTTATTGGATGTCACTTATCTTACCAATAGAGCATATGAAGGAATGGGGATCTTAATTTGTAAGAGACATAGGATGGGCCAAGAATCTTACCCGGTAATTGGGAGAGAAGACTTTTACCTGATAAGCGTTTACCAGGTAAAAACGCTTACCACCAATCTGTTTTGATGGCAGAGAATATTAGGTGATACGGTCAGGGACGGACCCCCAAGGGTGGTTGTGGTGGCACATGCCATCATATTGTTCATCCGTCGTAAGCTAAAAAAAATAGGTTCGTGAAAGGTGTGACCGTATTGTTTTAGAATGTGCAACCGTTTTATATGGTGCCACCATATAAAAATAAACCTGGGTCCGTCCCTGACAAAAATCCAAGGAAATTCTGTTAAAATCATCATATTTTCAATAATTAATTCACTGCAAATACAGTTATATCTTATATGTTCAACCATACGTAATTAAATTTATTTAAATAATTGACATGTAATATTACATATATTTGAAAAATGACATCATCCATGCATACGATGTCCAGTGACATCGTAATTTCACTTTTTGACCATAAATGATGATTGACAAGTTTGTGTTGTTTTCCAATGCATATACTTTATTGGAAACGTATTAACAAAAGGGAATGCTAATGGCGGACGTTGATTGTTTGTAAATTATGCATCTTTAAAATCTATAAACATTAAATCAATTTAATAATATATTTAATATTTAATTATCATTATCAT